GAATCATTTAATAATTCTAAGACAAGTTTTTGTCAAGAAATACTACGAGGTATTTTATAAATTCAGAAGGAAAGATTATTTTACCGTTAATTTTAATTTTAATGTTATCATTACTAATTATTTTTTTTAGGGTGAAAAATAATGAATTCAGTTTTGTTGATTTAGAGAGATACGATTACTATTTAACTAAAGACACAAATGATGAAGATCTGAAATAACTTTTTCACAAAGCTGAGTAAGTGATTTATTTATGCATAGAATATTGGTATCATCAGCAAAATGGTGAACAGTGGAATTGCTTATAGAGTGAGACAAGTCGTTTATATATATTAAAAACAGCAAAGGCCCAAAAACAGAACCTTGGGGGTCACCATATTTGATAAATTTTTTCGGAGGATTCAAACCCAATAATGGAGACAAACTGCCTACGATTTTCAATATATGATGAAAACCAATTAATAGCGATACCCCGTATGCCATAGTAGTATAACTTTTTTAATAAAATCTTGTGCTCAACCGTGTCAAAAGCTTTTTGGAAATCAATAAAGACGCTACAAGCAAATGAACCACTATCGATTGCACCACGAATCATTTCAGTAATGCTAATAAGAGCGCATGGGAAGTAGAGTGTTTTAAACGAAAACCAATATATATATATATATATATATATATATATATATATATATATATATATATATATATATATATATATATATATATATATATATATATATATATATATTATAAATTTAAAAATAATAGTTTTATTTAGTTTGTTTTAATTTTTATGTAAAAAAAAAAAAAAAAGAAGCAACTTTTAATTAGTAAATAATTAATCATTTTTTCGGTAAAGTAATATAGTTCTTATTTTTTAGTTGAGGAAGAATTTTAAGTTAATGCTAATGCAAAAGGTACAAATATTGATAGGTTAGCTAATTTGATGTTACAATAAACGTAAAATAAAGTTTGTGAAGACCTTAGTGCTAGAAATACTTGCATGCATTAAGTTAAGATTGTGCAAGTTGTCCTACTTTTATCTTTGAAGACTATTAATAATTGTAATGAACATATCTCAAACAATATACACTCAGATTTACATTTTAGTTAAACAATCACTATTTCCACAGCCACTTTGTCTCAAGCATTCAATTGCATTTTAAGATATCTTTATTTAAATCAAGCGTGACTACTATAGACTGTAAAATGGACCAATCAAGTAAGATGTCTAAATTTACACATTTTATATAAAACACCTTTACTTTTAGATAAACCTGTTAGTTTTATGACTGATAAACATATTTAGCAATGTAATCCTTTTAGGATAGACTTTTTAAAATCAAATCTAAAATGCTTTAGTAAATTTAAATTAAAAATAACTTTGTATACATAATATATCTATATAGTTATTTACATTGTCGCTAACCCATCAGTACTTGCAAAGTCTCTTTTTCTGTTAGCTCGAAAATTGAATTTTAAAATACCATTTTTCACATAACTACTATATCAAAGCACAAAATAATGGATTGATCAAATAATACTTAATATTTAATTTGAGTTGCTTGCTAGTACATATATGATTTTGATATATAAATTTTAATTATAATGTTTATTGATTAGTTTTTAACTTTGAGAATTTTAGGAAGTACAGTTTTGTTTATATATATATATATATATATATATATATATATATATATATATATATATATATATATATATATATATATATATATATATATATATATATATATATATATATATATATATATATATATATATATATATATATATATATATATATATATAAATATATATATATATATATATATATATATATATATATATATATATATATATATGCTCTACAGATATTGTTATAAAGTGATAGAATACTATATAACATTGTATTACTATGTTTAGGAAAGGCTATAAACGGAAATATTTAAATTGGTTAAAAAGCTAAATTAAATATTCGAAAGCAGTTTGTATACACTGATGGGGTATCACTAGTACACTTACTCGATATAACCTGTGGTGTTCCTCAGGGATCAATATTAGGGCCTCTTCTCTTTCTTATTTACATCAATGATCTCCATGAAGCTTCAAATTTAATGACAATTATGTTTGCAGATGATACGAACTTACTTTTATTTCATAATGATATTACATTATTATTTCAGAATATCAATAATGAAGTAGTAAGAGTTTCTGATAGGTTTAATACAAATAAGTTGTTGCTTAATAATGATAAAACGGAATGGATTTTTTTTAATCCAAATCATAAATAAAAAATCTTATACTAAATGACATGCCACCGCTTTTTATTGATAACGTACTTTTAAAAAAAAGTTACAGTTACCAACTTTCTTGCTATTTATATTGATGAAAATTAGTCATGGAAAAGTCACATAAAAAATTTGAGTAGTAAAATATAAAAAAGCAAAGGAATTTTATTCAAAGCAAGGAGTTTTTTAAATAAATATACATTACTTAAACTAAACTATTCGCTTATTCATTGTCACATAAACTATGCGAACATTTTGTGGGGTAGTACTAATAAAAGTAAACTATAAACTCTTTATCGTCAACAAAAACATGTTGCACGCCTTATTAATTTTTAAAATCGATTTACTCATGCCAAGCCTCTATTATTTGAAATGAAAGCTTTAAAAATATATGAACTTAATAATTTTAACTTTATATACTTTGTGTTTAAATCTAAAAACAATATTTCCCCTGTACCTTTTCATAATTTGTATAACAAAAACGAAAAAACTAAATATTTTTTACGTAATGATAACGGCATTCGTCAATCAGCTTATCAAACTAATTCTGAAAAATACTGTATTTCATTTCGAGGAGCATTACTTTGGAATAAAATAGTTTTGAAGAATTTTGTCTTTTCTTATAAGGTTAGCAATCACTCTTTCAAACAAAAACTTTAAAAAGTCATTTTTTTATCAGATGATATATCTATATTCTTTTAACTCTTTTTTTTTTAACTTTATATTAAACACGGCATTAATAAAATTTATAAAATAACAATTTTTAAATAGTTGTTCAACACTTTTGTTAAAGGTATTTTAAAACTGTAAAACGTATCTATGTATTTATAACGGAACCTTTATTCTTTTTTTCTTTAAATTTGTTTATGTTTTCAATTCTTAATTCTTAATTATTTTTTATCTTCAAGTCTATTAAGTATATAAAGTTTATTTATTTTATTATTTTCAGAATATTTTGTTGATACGAAATGTTACCACGTAAATTTTTTAGTGGCTCTCGGCGACAAGACCATGCGGTCTTCTAAGAGTTCCCGCGTTCTTAAGGTGGTAGAGCACAATTAAAATACTAATTTTTGATCAAAATATGAAAATATATTTTTTTAATTCATCTTATTTAAAATTTTATCCTCTTTCGTTTGATGTATGTATGAAACAGAATTTATTTTTGGAAATGTGATAAAAATCTATATTTGCAATATTATTTACCTTAGCAACGCCGTAGCAACCACAAACATACCTTCGTTTACTATAAGTTGAGCAAAGTTTGCAAGCTAATTTATCATTTTGTTGTGTCTGTCATGCTTTTATTTGTTTATTTATCAACTTTGTTTATAAAGAAACTTGAATGTCGAGAGTTTTGTTGAGATACGATTCAAAGATTTATGTTGTTACCATTATATTAGACCCTATTGTTGTTAGTATTGGATTAAAGATTTATTATTAATTACTAATAAATTATAAATAATAAATAAGAAAATGAACTTTAAAAAAACAAACAAACATAAAAAAAAAGCTGTTTTAATAAACATTTTTCTAGTAACAGATATTCCAAATCCTGAGAGACAATATATTTCCAATCTTTGCATCAAAATGAATCATTTTGATGCAAATATTGGACTCCAAGTAAAACTTAAAAACCAAATATATCTATTCCTCTATCAATAAAAAATCTCATTACACCCATTTTTATGGATTAACAGAAAAAAGAATTACTGTTGAAAGGTTTGCATGGTCAAACACAAAGTTCAAATGAAGCGCTCAACTCATTCATATGGTTTAAGGTACCTAAAATCACATTTGTTAGTAAAGATGTTGTAGAAATGGGTGTAAACTCTATTTTTCATTTCAATGATGGTAGAAATGGTTTATTAAAAGGATTACAGCTTTTTGATATACAAAAAAAATGTTATACAATTGACAACAAGTTTAGCAGACAGTATATGAGTAAAACGAATGAAACGTAAGACTACTATTACGGTAAAGAAAAAGAAAAAAGCTAAGAGCAATATAAAAAAGAACTCAGCAAAAATCATAAAGCAAAGGAACCTCAAGAATCATATATTTCAGAAAATTTTTATCATGATTTTGCTGTTTAAATGTGATTTTTTCTTTATTTTGTACTTATTTTTGTTTTTTCTGCAAGTAGAGTTTTTCATATTTTATCAAGATTTCAAAACATGATTTTTCATGATTGAATAAAGCTTTTGTTCTGATATTTTCAGGACATATTCCTAACAACAATAGAATTCATTTGACAGATAGATTTTATTTAATATTTTTTAAAACTCATTATTTTTAGTTTTAACTTTATTAAACTGCTTGTAAATCGTACAAATTTTAACTTATTTTCAAAAAAAGGTCATATCTTTAGATATAAAAAGAAATAATTAAAAATCTATCTGTTAAATGGAGTAAAATAATGTCATCAACAGATCTGAAAAGTTTGATTCATGGTTTTTAAATCTTACTCAAGATAACGTGTTTTGAAAACCTCAGAATTAGGTCTTTATTTACACTGTTTTTTCGCCATTATGGATTTTTGGTAAAGTTTTTAAAAATTTTTTTTTGGCAAAAGTATTTCATTTTTCTTAGTGAAGCATTTCTGCACATTTTTAATAATTTTTTTGAAATTTTTCATAAAAAGTGCCTTTTTTGTGCTCTACCACCTTAAATTATTAAATCTTAAATTATTATATATTCAAAATATTTATACTATACCTCCATTCACAACAAATAGCTCTTTAATCCAACCATCATGTGCAGTATACCACGGATCTGAAATATATACTTTCATATCTTTAAACTGCCTCGGATCTTTGTTTTCAACTTCATATTGAATGGAACCATTAACAAAAATAGCATAAATATAAGCACCATTCTTCAAAGTTTGTTCTATTTTAATACTTGACCATACATTGAGTGGAAGTGGATTTGTTGTCACAAATTTTGAATTAATTTTGCCATTAATATCTGAAAAAAATTCAAGTCGCCCAGAACCATCTTTATGAAAAAATACTGCTGGATATCTGTCACCACATTCACCAAACTTCTGACCCTTGGTTATGTGGAGAACATTTTGCCATTCTTCGGAATATGATATAGGTTTTAGCTTAAAAGATACAGAGAATACTTTTTCTAAATTATTTATTGTTGCGATAACCTCATTTTCGCATAGCTCTTTCTCTGAAAGTTGAGCAACACTGTCTAAAAAGATGATTTTTAACAGTTATTATTTCAATACATATTGATTAATGGTAATCAAGAAACTTTTTTTGTTCTTAGTTATGTTATAACTGCGATTATAACGAATATATTTAACTTTAACATATACTTGTTGAAATAATATTTACCTGATGGATTAATGACAAGATCAATCACGCTCGGTTGGCCTAAAATGGAAAATGACAAAATTTTGGATTATTATTTATATAATTTTTTTCAGAAAGTACTATCCATATTTTCAGTTTTTTATATTAAAATAATCTTATTATATTTGCATTGAAATTAGTTGCAATTCCTATAAAACCTTAACTTGAAGTAAAAAAAAAAAATTGTTAATTTTAACCAAACCGCTACATTTTGTGTTGAAATAAATTAGCATTTGTTTAGCAAGTTTCTTATTAAACATAACATGATATTTGAAATTAAAATATTTGACATTAACATTTGATATTTGACATTAACATGAATTATTTTTATAATAAAAAAACTGTAATGTTATGATAAAAACTTTGTTGCAAAAATTTTATTAATTAATTCAAACCTTTTTTTCCATTGATTATAAACATGTTCTCTATGTTAGAGATTTGTACCAAGTCCCACGGATTTGAAGCATAAACTTGAACATTTTCAAAGATTTCTGGCTTTTTATTCTCTTCAGAGTAAACAGTTTCTGCATTGATTTTAATAGTGTAAATGTATTTGCTTTTTTTCTTTTGCTGAAGAATATCTATTGTACAATATGTATCTAATAATTGTGGTTTAGAAATAAAATATTTTACTTTGGTTGGTACACTAATATTTAATCGCCCATCGCCAGCATCTGCAAACCATACACCTAAAATCTCTCTGCCGCGACTTTTTTTACTAGACCCAACAGCTAAATGAATGACATTGTGCAACTTTTCAATATAAATCATCGGATGAATTATAAAAAATATACGAAATTCTTTATCTAATTGCTTTATGCTAGCTACTAATTTCCCACCAATTAAACTAGTACTTGATTTGATGATTCTTGCTGAAAAAATTAAATGTACAAATTACAAACTTAAATTTACTTTTCAAGAAAAAAACAATACATTTAAATTATAGATAAAAATTTACTAAAACTATTTGTATTTATAAATTATTAACATTATTTGCGAAGTCTATAAACATGTAGTTGACAAGAATGCAAACAAATAATATATAAAAATTAAATAAGATAAAAGATAATTCACAATTGAATAGTAATCTCTGATATTTAATGTGTTATTTCTCCTTGCAAAAATGCTAAAATATAAATATAAAAGATGTGTGTTTATTAATACTTACATTAGACATTGTTACTTTCATGTTACTTAAACTGTTACTTACACTTACATTATACACTGTTTATTTATGTAAAAATATAAAAATTAATTTAATACGAGGTAAAAAATTCAATATAATTTGAGTCAAGAAATTTTAAAATCCTGAAAAAACAAGACTCAAATATATGAATAACAAAAAGCTCAAATATATTGGCAGTAAAATATAAAACCAATAATAAATAAACTCTTATTGGTTTATTATTGGTCTTCTCCAGCATCAAAAACATCTACTAATCTGAAAATGTTTTCAAAAAATTTGAATAAAATAAAAATACAGACTTTGCTGCCACCATGTTATATTCAACAAATTTTGTAAGTGTCTAAACTGTTTACGATATAATGTTTTGTGCTAAATGTTTTGGTTCTAAACTCTGAAAGGAGAACATAAAATATTATTAAAAATGATTAAAACGTATAATATAAGTATAAATTTAAACAGCTGAAAAATTAAAAACAAACAGTATTTATTGGAAACTCGCTGTTGTTCGTCACCAGAAGCTTTTTTATGCTTTATATTTGAGTTCTTTTCTGCTTTTTATATTTAAAAGGCTAATCAGGATCAGTGCTAAGTATGTTTAGTTCGACTGCTTTCAATAAAAAAATAAGAAAAGTTGTTTTGATTCGAAAAAAAATTGCCTAAATGTTAGTAAGTATAAAGTAGTTTCAAATATGATCTGAAACTTAAATACCTAGAATCAAAAAAAAAGTTGTAATGCAGGTATAGCATTTGAATATAAAAAAAAAAAAACCCGCAAAGGCTTAGTTAAACCAAAAATTAACTTATTATTACATCAACAAAAAAACAGTTCATCAAAATTGGTATTATTACATCAGCAAAAAAATAGTTTATCAAAATTGGTATTATTACATCAGCAAAAAAACAGTTCATCAAAATTGGTCTTCAAAATATAGGTGGATCATGAATAAAAATTTTAAAATTAATCTAAAGTTGTAGGAGTTTTTACGCAAAGAAAATCTAAACGAGCTTCCAGAATATCTGATACAAAATAACTTCCAATGAGATTATAACACTACTAGTTCAACTGTATTGTTGAATTGTACGAAAAAATATGAGAGCTAAACAACCTTAAAACAAGTGACTTAGATAGAGTTCACCTCGATGTATTGTGTATATGTTCTGAGTAATTGTTTTACTCAATTCAGTTTTTGTTTAAACTGTCGTTTAAATAGTAGTAAAATACCGGAATTGTGGAGACTAGCTAACTTTGCGCCAATTTACATGAACGATAGTTGTTTGGATGTTTCATACTACAGGCACATTTTCATAATATTAGTGTTTTGTAGAGTAATGTAGATCATCATAAATAATAAAATAGCAGAAAATCTTTCAAATAGTTAACACATATTTATTACGGAAAAATCATACACAACAAAGATGCTAGACTTGTTTCATCCAAGTTCAAAAGCAGCAGAGAACGGCATTCCAGATAATATAATTTGATTGTTGATGAGAATAGATTTATTAGATAGAATAAGAATAGATAAAAGATAGAATATTGATATAACAAGACTTCAGCAAAGCATTCGATCAACTACTACACACAAAATTTTTCTAAAAAAACTATTAGCATACAGAATAGTAAATAAAATGCTCAACTGGATAATAAACAATATAAAATATCGAAAGCAGCGAAACGTACTAGCAGTGGCCATACTGAGTTCACGGAACAGTGGTCCAGAAATGCTACTTTTGAGGCAAAAATCATATCTTCACCACTTTTAAAGACAATAAACTAAAATTTTTAGTGAATGTTCATTATACTCTGCCCAACATTAACTGTTATTGTAATGTTGCTTTATATACCTCTAAAGGACACGCCAATAACACAAAACCAAGGGCATATTGCAAAACGAATAATAAACATGTGACACGTATTTCATATTAATTTTCAACTTTCTATTGACTATAAACAGTCACCAAAATGTTTGATACAATGTTCGATTGAATAAGTATCATACCTGTGCAGAACACCAAGAACACATAGCATAAAACTTCCAGTTAACTTATTTTAATAGAATTATGAATACCTTTTAATAAAATATTTTCTAGAAGACAAACTCCATATTTCTAACATCTTAGTGGATTACAAAAACATACAGAGTATCACACCAAGGACAACACCAAGAACAGGGGCCAAGGACAAAAAGTAAGCACAACAACAATATATAAATTTCCAAGATTTATATATAAATATATAAATTTCCAAGATTTATATATAAATATATAAATTTCCAAGATTTATATATAAATATATAAATTTCCAAGATTTATGTTACATTTATGAAAATTTTTGTTTAGAATAAATGCTCTAAAATAACAAACCAAGGACACATGACATAACATGCAACATGCCTTTTGCATTTGTACGTATGTCTATATATATACGTACGGGAGTCTGAGAGGGAGCCGTATTTTAGTTTAAGTATGTCATGTTTAAGTTGACCCTATAGACACAAAAGCAAATAAAAGCCAAAACATTTTCAGAAATTTTCTATAAACGTCATTTTTTCAAACGCAAAAAATTTCTAGCTGGGCAAACCTGGGCGAAAATTTTCCTGATTGTTCAAAGTTTTATTTTCAAACAATTTAAAAGAAAAAAGTGTTAAACATGCGGTAAATTGTGTTTTTTTTTATGAAATTTTATATTTTAAGTCATTTTATATTGATCTTCCATATTTTATAAGAATATTTAAAAAAATTGGCACATCTGTAACATTGGTAGGAGAATGTATAAAAGTTTGCAGAATAATTTTTGCCCGAAAAACTTTAATTTTGTGTCGATTTTTGAACTTCAAACCCTCCTTACACAATTTTTTTTAAAATAACGGACCTTAAAAATTTAAACCTGGTTTTCACATAATATATATAATTCAATTTTCAAATTGTTTTTATTATAAAACAAATTATGTTTTTGTATTTATGACATGGTACTGGATCACTGTGCACGGCTCGATTCTTGTTCTTGTACTGTTTTTAATATTTTAATTGAAGATAAACGAATAAAAAGAGAGCATATACAACAATTTAAAGTTAAAAATAGACTAAATATAATAAACTTTTGTTTAAGTTCAACATAAGAAAAACAAGACCACCAGGCAAAACAACAATAATTGGTTTTCCATAAAATTTCTTCTTAAACAGTTAGTCAAACAATTGAATCAACTTCCAGTAAACTGTGAAAACTCAAAAACAACAAACATTTTTAAATAAATTTACAATTGAATAGAAAATTTACAAATACTATAAATGAAAAAATGAAAAAAAAATTTAAAACACATAACTTAAATACCTTGAGCAAGCATTTTATTATTTGGAGTGGGTGGAAGTTCTAAATCATATTAAAAAAAAATTACTTTTTGAACAAATACAATAACTTAATAGTTAACCTTTAAAATCATTATACAAATCAAATAAATTGTTAATGTTAATTTATTGTTAAGCTATTGTTTTTTTATAAGTAATAATGCAACTTGTTTTACGCTTATAGTGCTATGATTAACTATGTTAGAATAATTTCCATTTTTTAGTTTCTAGTTTCTTTTTTTGTCTTTAGTTTCTACAACCAAATTGTTTAAATCAATCTCTAATACTTGCGGTTCTTTCAAAATAATTTCTGATTGTTTATTTTTAATACTTATTTAATTTACATCAAAATATTTTCTGATTGTTTATTTTTAATACTTAATTGTAGTTTATATCAAAACCTATTATTATGCAATTTTTCTTCTTATCATAATTTAGGTGGTTTAGACCATACTATAATCTCACTCAAATCTTTACTTTGTTCTTTTACATCATATTTATCCTATCATCGTATTTCTTACACCTATGTCAAGGTTGGATAAAAATATTGCACCTCTAATGCAGCGCTGTGCTGTAACTTTTGGGGGCCCTGTGCAGAAACTAAAAAAAACTTTTTTTTTCTTTCAATTCGTAGTAATTTATGTTTTTGGAGAAGTTTTTCTAATGTATTTAATAGGGGGCCCAGTGCGATTGCACTTGTTGCACTTGCGATAGTACGGCGCTGCTCTAATGTAATCACCTGAATTCGTAAAGAAACGGAAGCTTTTATTTCTAACGATATTTATTAAACTAATATTTTTCAATAATATAACTATTCTTAAACAAAGTACTTTTTGTTGATGCAAGTAATCAATGTAAAGGAAAGTTAAGTAATTCTAAAATCGACTATTCGTAGATTACCTATTATCTTGAAAGTTAATTTGGGAAGATATTTTGAAATTCTTTAATTCGTTAACATTGATAAGTTTATTATTTCATTTCTAATGTTTCTGATATGTATTTAATCTTATTGCCTCTAACATTAAATTTTTTTATTTTTTGCTTAAGAGTATATTTGTCTAATAAATCTTTTGCCAATGTAATGACCACACTTATCCTAGTAACCCAGAAAAAAAGTTTTGACCAATATAAGATATCATTATATCTTTGGGTTTATTGTTTGATGTACTTTAAAATTTTATGCTCGACCATGTTGTTTCTTCTCTATATTAATGATCTTTTGACAACCTTACTGCTAAAGTTTAACTCTTTATTGACAATGTAACCATTAACTCTAGCCTTGATATAAAGTGATAACTTTTTGATTTTGACCTTTATTATTTTAAAAACTCAAAAATAAAACTATTGTTGTGTTTTCCAATGTTTTGTCTTTTTTCACTTGTAATTAATTTAAATAATTGTGATTAATGTAAATAATTGTCTTTTTTCACTTGTAATTAATTTTAAGCATCATGACTAAGTGAATGCTTTTAAAGTTAAATTGACTTATTTCAAAAATTATTTTAACTGTAAGTAAAATTTAGCTAAAACAAAGCAAAACCAAAAATAAAAAATAAAATTATAAATGCTTAGTGTTGACACTGTTTAATTATGTAAAATTCAAAACTTAATTTAAAATGTGTTTGCAATACTTCAAGTTACCATTTTATGAAGTAAAATGGCAACTTGAAGGAAACAATATGAGGACTTTTGAGTTTTCTCAGAACTTTTTTTTTTCTTTAGGAATTATTTTTGCTAAATTTTATACTATATCAGATTTTCTAAACCTTACTACCAATTGTTTCTATGATTAGCTTTTGTTTTAGAAGTACCCCTTTCATCAATTTCTTTAAAAAATTCAAATTTATGTAGTTTTATTTGTGATAATTTTTTTAACCTTTTTTTCTAAACAGGTTTCATTTCACAATTATTTATTGCTTCATACCATGTAAGTATGAATACCAGTGATATTTTCGTACACGAGAACGAAAACGAGAACGAAAAAAAAGCCTTTCGTTTACGAAAACGAAAACTAAAACTAAATTTATTTTAAGAAGAGAACAGAATAAAAACGATAATTTTAAATTTTCGAACGGAATAAAAACTGAATCGAAAATTATTTTAAAACGAAATATTTTCGTTCTAGATTTGAAACGAGTTGAATTATTTGATATATATAATTATTATATTACAATACATTATAATGATATATTATTCAAACTTAATTGAACTTTATTCAATTAAGTTCAAATAAGTTTAGTTATGATATAGTTTGAATATATTTATTCGAATATATTTTTTCGAACTAAAAAAAATCAAACTGTAAGACCAACACAACTACGCGATGAGTTTGAGTAAACTTTTTGCTGGTAGGAAGAGGAATAGTTCAGTATGGAAATGGTTTAAATACGATGCGTCATCCGACAAATCAGTATGTTTAGTTTTACTTGATGGTGAAAAAGTATGCAATACAAAGTTGTGTGGAAAGAACCCAACAAATCTTAAAGTTAGTTTATCTGTTAGAGGATATGTTTTCATTTTGAAACAAACGACTCATTTTTATCATTTTAGAGTAATTATTCAATAACGTATACGAACTTATTTAAACATTAATTGATAAACAGATAGATAAATAAACATATAAATATACAAACAAAAAATTATATAAATATGTTTATTTTTTTCCAGCTACATTTAGCAAGAAACCATAAGTCTGTACACGTTGAGCTGGAAGAGTCGGAATTAAAGAAATTAAGTGAAAGTTAATTTAAAGTTAAATTAAAGTCTATACAATAACTATTCATTAGTTTTTATTGTTACCAAATTTGAGGAGATTTTTTATACCTAATAATTGAAATTTTTTTAAGTTTTAGAGCAATAAGGACAGGTTGTTGTTGTGTTTTTTATTAAGGGCGGTGGGCGGGGCTCTAAACTTCTAGCCATGGGACTGGGTGTATTGCATTTAATTAAGTTCTCATTTTTTTGTTTGTTTATAGAACTAAGACTTACTTCTTTTAATTATATATGCCTATATTATTTATAAATTATACTAAATTATAATTAGATGAGATAAAAAATTTATACGACAAACGAAAATTGAACTAAATAAAAACTAAAACTAAAATTATTTTAAGATGAACTGAATAAAAACTAGAACTAAATTTATTTACTGAACTGAATAAGAACTAGAACTAAAAACTTTGCCTCTAAACTGAATAAAAACTAAAACTAAAATTATTTTCCGAACAAAAATATCACTGATGAATAAAATTAATTAACCTCATTTTTTTTTTTTTCAGAAATAAAATATTTGATGTTTTCAATATCGAGTTATCGTTAAAGTAATAATTAGAGATAAATAACAAAGAAAAAATCTAGGACTTGTTTTAAATAACTTGATTCAAAAAATGATTATGACTTAATACTAAAATTAATCTTAATGAGATTTAGACTTTCCATATTTCAAATTTTGTAGATTTTGCACAGATTCTATATTTTCTAAACGAGTGAATCTGACATTAAGAGTTTTTACTGATTGTTATTAAAAACTACAAATTCTAAAAGAAAATTAGGATTATTTCTTAAAAAATCTTAACGGATATTATTAACATTAAACTTTGTTTTTTCTATATAAATTCTTATCCAAAAGTATTTTCCCTTTTAGTTGTATAAGCACAACAGTTTTTATCGTAAAATTAAGAAAATAGCATGGAGAATTATACAGAACACAATTATAAATACTTTTGCTTACACCTAGTTAATTGTTTTATTTAAACTTAAACTATATGTGTTTTCTGATTGCGTTTTTGCTTAGTTCTATAGGTTAGACTCACTGGTTAAAAACAAAAACAAAGGATTTTTATATCATTAAAATCTCTTTACGCAAAAGTTCCATATGTAAGATTATATATATATTATTATATATTCCTTCCATATGTAAGATTTTATATATATATATATATATATATATATATATATATATATATAAAATCTTACATATGGAAGGAATATATAATAATATATATATATATATATATATAATCTTACATATGGAACTTTTGCGTAAAGAGTTTTTTTTTTAAAGAGAAGTTTCTTTTCTTCACTACTAGAAGATGATTCTGCCAAAGTTAGAACAACAGAGTGGCATTTTTGCTAGTTTCTTAAATAAATTTTTGTTTTCTTTTACTTGATTGATGTTTTGTCAAAACATAAATCAAGTAGAAGAAAACAAAAATTTGGTTAGTGTTTATGGAAGTAAAGAACATTTTTGTTATTATTTGTCTTAAAGTGATGACGATGATTTTGTGTTTTGCTTCGAAGCTGAAGCAAAGTTCTTTTAAAAGAACTTTGCTTCAGACTCCAAAATCAGTTACTGTCAAAAGCGTGGTGGTCAATACTATTAGTATTGACCACCAAGATATTAGTATAAATTTAGACATGAATAAAGGTAAAAAATCATCAATATTTACATCAGTAAGTATTATTTCATTTATAAAAGCTAAATAATCTTTTTTTGATGCAGAAACAGCTTTTAGTATACTAGTTTCAAGATAAGATATTTTATTTTCAAGATATTTTAGTATACTAGTTTCAAGATCTAATAGTATAACTATTAGACATTAAATATAAAAAAGGTTAAATGTTTCTTTTTAAGCAATTATTCTTTTGTAATCAGAGAACATTCAGAGTGTGTGATATCTTGTAATATACTTTGCTATTGTATTTCTAATGATTATTATTTATTTATGTTGAAGTATTTTGTCTATAATATATTGTTTTCAAATCTTCTATATAATATTGCCGAACTTAATAGTTTTAATAGTAGTAGTAGTGTCCCTTGGAGCGTATTTGACACGAAACCCTTGGCAGCCATTGTAACCGAGGTATTGGCAAGAAAGAGTCACAGCATTATAAGAAAACGTGAACGAATATCTAACGTACGTAAACTTTAAACTAAGAAATGTTAAAGCATATGTTAAAACAAACTGAAAGATTTATCACGTTTTACAGTTTGATTTTTACTTGAAAATTACATTGCGTCAACCTCTCCTTAATTTTGATCTAACATTTTTTTTCCTCAAAAAAATTACTAGATTATTATAAAATCTACATTTGATAATACGCCGGTGTAGCTCGAGTGGATAAGGCGGCGAAGTTCTGAACAAGGAACTAGAGGTTCGACTCCTACCAAAGGCGGCTATTTTTTTTAATTTTTTTAATTATTTTAAAATACAAAATACTTTCGAAGTTTTATAAAGATTATATACAAACATATGTAACGTAACGATATTATGCACTCACAAAAGAAAAGATTTTAAGAATGCTAAAACTTCATAAAACATTAAAAAAAAAAAAAACATCACCAGGAGAAAAAATATGTTGCGTATCTATGATAATTGAGACACTTATGTTATTAATGTGCGAATGTAATTAGTCCTAATAAGCTGCGGATGGTCTGAAAAAAAAGTTGTCTGAAACTTAATAAAAAAAAAACTTAACAAGACAGCCCTGCTACTTCATAAGATGCTGCTGTGGAGGCAAAAAAAAAAAAAACCTGTAGCTAGATAAAACTTTAAAACTTTCTTTTGACAATTAAAAGTTTATTTTGCTACATTAACTTTTTTACTATGAATATATGCAGCAACTGTTTTTCAAAACGCCTTAATATGCTTATGACGTAATTCAAAAAAAAACCCAATTAAAAATAAAATTGTTTGGAAAAACTCTTCGTAAAACGTTTTTTGAAACGAATAACTTTTATTTAGTTTTTTTTTTCTTTTGTGCAACTTTCTTTTCAATAAATTTCTTTACCTTTCAGAATATGACCATTTTTAACAATGCTATAGAAAAAATATCAGTAAATTGATTAGTAGTATTTCAATTATATTAATTAGATTTAATTAAATATATTAAATTATATATTATATATATTAAATTAAATAGATAAATAAATTGATATTCAGTTTATACATGGGTATTTTTTTTTTTTATATACTTAGTGACAAAATAGACTAATTAGATAAGTCGTTAAGTAGAATGCTAAGAATATATTTATGGCGGTTATTGTTGTTAAGGGTGATTAATAGGCAAATAAATTAAAAGCTAATCAGGGTTTTAAATAAATTATAAACTAATCAGGGAAGTTTTATTTGTAAACCTAATAAATAGGAAGATATAATTCAGGTAGACATTGTTTTCACTTTTTCGCCAAACTTTGATATCTTTGATATTAAAAAATATGACCTTCCCAATAATTATAGATGGTAGTGTATTAACCTTTTTTTTCGGAACCACAATCCGTTATGATTTGTATTTTATCAATGTGACGAAAGTCTATTCAAAATCTAAATATGTAAACTTTAAGTTCTTTAAATATCAATCAGTATAATTATAAAGTAGACGACATCAAATTCTACCGATTTATTTTTACTTAATATATTCATTACGACAATATCTCTTTATTTTAAAGCATTAAATGTTGTTTTTTATAGTTTAATAAGTTTTCTGTTTATTAAATAGTGTAAAAAGATGATATAGCATTCCACAGCGATTGAAGTGCTTCGCTTCGGTTCAAAACCTTTTGCTTACACAATTTTTTTTTTAAATTCTATCCAGTTTTCTAGAAAACAAAGAAAAACAAGTTTAAATGCATATAGATGTTATACGCATTACATAAAAATAAAGATAAATAATACTATAAGAAACCAAACGGAGAGAATTTTTTAAAACGTTTTAAAAAATTTTTAAAAACATAAAAACGCTGTTGGAAATTTGTTGCGCATATATCATGATAGAGATACTTATGTTTTAGGTAATTAGTTAAAACTGCGAGTTCAACACACATTAAAGAGATAAATTTCTTTCTTATATATATAAAAAAAAGGTTTTACATGCAATCTAAAATTTTTATTAAAACTAACTGTTCAAGAGTCCTAAAAAGTACGGAAAGGTATGAAAAAAAAATTGTAATCTAAAACCTAAAAAAAAAAATTTAGTTACTCCAGAAGGTGACAAACAGAAAACCCACAAAATTTCGCCTAATCCGCTAATAGAAATGCTCGAATATTAAGATATAAACAAATATTAAATGATTTTTGTATTACGAAACGTACGCCAACTCTTAAACCACTGTAAAACTACCTTGCGGTTTTTAATTAAATCCACCAAATCCGTTAATAAAAACAGCTTAATTAATAGATTCAAAACCATCTGATTTTTGTATTATGATATGTGCGCCAACTGTACTCTAAAACCAATAAAACTCGGCCATGTGGTCTTCATATCGATTATAACAATTGCAAAGCGAGGGACGACATGTAAGTTGTATCTACAAGTTTAATTATTGTAATCTTCATTTAAAAAATTAAACTTATTTTATAATTACCATGTTAATATGTTTGAAGTTAATATGTTTTTGACCAAAGAATAAACATTAAGATTATTTTTTAGAAATGAGCAGCCAAGATACAGAAGGTATTCTTTTAATTTTGTATAACATTAATTAATTAAAGAGATAAAAAGAGATAATACGTCAATAATACTGAGATATTTAGCTTATTATTTTACTAAGAAATTACATTAAGATAATTTTGTATATCTTTAGGCGACGAAGAAGTTTCTGCATTTTTTCGAAGTAAGCCATATATATATACTATATATAGTAGCAGTTACATATGTTCTAAAAGTGGCGGAGCTGTACTTGATTTACGGTGTGAATAAAACGATGATTTAATTTAGCCGTTTTTAATTAAAATCAACTAA